TGTGTGTGTGTGTGTGTGTGTGTGTGTGTGTGTGTGTGTGCGGCCATCATGCAAGTCGCACTCGAGCCGACGTGCGTTATTTTGACTGGATCCAGTCAGAGGGCAAACGTGGAGCTGACAGCGGGACACATGAACAGTAACATGTTGCAGGCAAATGTGTTGCTGGCTGGCAGGACGGACACACACGCAATCATTGTCTTAACACCATATGACAATTATTTCCATTCAGGCTAATTGGCAAATCCATATATTTCCCCACAGGCCCACCCTGCAGACGTAAATGCAGCCTATATCACGTTTGCTGTTCCAGAGCGTTAAAGCGTCCACCAGATGCTCTGTGTTTTCTCTGCAGCTCCACACACTGTGCATTTTAAAATCCCCCACGCAATGAAAAAAAAATCCATTCGGGTCTACTTCCACATTTTAACTAAACAATAGGTCCAGATAAAATGAATACACACGGGTGGCCAATAAGTAGACATGCAAACTCTTGTTGTGATGCACAAAACTTTTTTAGTTTGGCTTCTTACCTTCCGGCTTTGGTGATGATCATCTCCGTCCCCACCTCGTGAAACTTCATCCATAGTTCCCTCTCGTGCAGGTAGACTTTTATTCCCTCCATTCCCTTCAAAACAAAACACCTCAGTGTTCACAGTGCTCGTGGATTTTTACATTAAAAAGAGCCTAACCACATTTTACGCAGAGGTGTCATACATTGCTGTTGAAGTTTTGAGGTCTTCTGAGTTGGTGAAATAGAACAATATGTCCTCGAAATGAAATTATAAATGACTGCAGGTTGAAATGAAACATTCATTTTAAATTTAAAGAAACTTTGGAGCAATGGGAGAGTGCAAAGTCATATCAATAAATAATATAGGATTTGTAGTGACAACGAAACTCTTGTGTAACCTCTTAGAAACTTAATTTCAACATCAGGCTATAAATCATGCTGCACTTGTTGGGCCGTAGCATAAACATTTAAACTAAATACCAGACCATAATATGCCACAGTTGATGTCTGAGGAGGAGCATATTCTACAAGGCTGAGCAAAAATATAGTCTCCTGTTCAGCCACAAAATATTGGTTACTATTATGTTTCGAAAATTGTCTAATGTTTTATGTCAGTTTCTTGGAGCCACTCTCTATGTTTTATTATTTATAAATCAGACTACACATGCATGAGATACAAAAAGTTTGTATGTTTAAAAAAAAAAATAGTTTGGAAACCAGTAGAATGTATCCACCTCACAAGCAGACACACTATTTCCTCCTTTTGAGACAATTGTGGATATTTTAACATCCACAGCAACAACGTAACACCCGTAGGAATATTTATTTAGTGTGGATGTGACCTCGGTGTGCAGCCTGGAGCAGTGAGAGTGAGGCCTAAATAGTACTGACCTGCTGGATGTAAGTCGTCTGTGACGATGGGGATTTGCTCGAGGTCCCGTTCTGCTTCTCTGATTTATTATCGCTCGGTGCTTCCCTTGAATCCGAGCCACCGGGAGAGTTTTGGAGGCCAAAAGTCTCCTCTTGGTCCGCCATGACGAGGATCACCGAGAACTCTACCGCCCAAGCTGCACGGGAGACCCAAAGCAGACATGTCAGAGCGCATGGACGAAGCCCTTTAGCAACATTACACAGACCTACTGGTTTTTAGGATGTTTAGGTGCATTTGTACTGACAGACACGAGTTAAGTTCTTCGCTGTGTGACCACAAAGTTTTCTAATTTTTACGGTGTGATTGCAGGATATTGTGCATGCTACAGTCATGAAAATCAAAATAAAGTTAGATTCAAAACCATTTCAAAAAACACACTTACACTTCAACCTGATTTAAAATTAAAATTACTAAAAAGTAACTGAATTGAATGTTGAATTATTCACATAAGCTGAAGTTTTGGTGACTTATGCAAATATTACTGTAACAAATGTTATCGATTTTAAGGTCGTGAACAAAGATATGATCTGAAAAAAATATGGGTAAGATGAAATGTTTGGGGGGAATAATTCTGCACATGGAGGCAGGCCCCTCTTTTTTGAGGAAACATAGTTTTCTATTCATGATCCCAAAACAAAAGACACGAGCTTTGTTGTTACATCGCAACATGGTGAAGTCCAGGACAAAGTGAAACACTGACCCCCCCTAAAAACACCTCTATTCACAGAAAGTGAGAGAATCGATTCCTCCATCGTAGAGAAACTTTTACTACTTTATGAATTACAACAATGAGCGCACGAAGCCGGTTGAGAGCGGGATCATCTTACCTAAAAACACAAAAACACGCCGTACAGGCTGGAGTTGGACTCAGCGATGGCACAGAAACACAGTTACGCCTGTTTTAAAACTGTGTAATAATGCCCCCAGTCCAGTCAGTTAATCCAGACGTTTTGCTCTGTGGAGCTGCTGCACACAACCTCCATGAATCCTGCTTTCTCCCCCCTCCTCGTCTCGCAGTTACTCCAGATTTCCTACAAGCAGCGGCCGCGAAGATCCTCCTCCTCGGAGCTCAGTGACAGCCTCGAGGCGCTCCTCGATCGGTGCCTTATTTTACGACCGGGGACCGTTTTAGTGAGCCGAGCCCGCCGATAGCACCGAGCAGTAAAGCTGCAGCCGAGTCCCAGAGGAGCAGATCCGTCACCTCCTTCTTCCCTCCTCGCTCTCTCTCTTTCTCCCCCAGCCACTGCCTTGTCAATTCTACGTCTCCCACTCTCTCTCAGGCGCGCTCCCTCCCTATCCAAAGCCTCCACTGCGCATCAATGACCAACCGTGCGAAGCGGAAGCAGAGTCCACGACGTAGATTTTGAAGAAGGGGGGTGGGTGGGGGGTGGGGGTGTTGAGGGGCAGCCTGCATAGAAATAGTATTGGTTTATAACCTAAATGATATTTCTTTCCAGCTTTTCGCGCTCTGAACTTGAGTGGAAGGAACCAATTTGATATTCACCGTTTCGTGCGTAATTACGCACAGCTTTGCATTGTTGTGATATTAAGAAAATAAGGTCAATTAAGAAGAACACCCATGGCTATATTAGACATATGGATCAGTTGATACATGAAAGCCACCATGTTGTGTCTGCTCATAGCGGAAAGAATGACAACGAACGAATTGATTAATCGACCATATGCGTTTGCCTGTAGATCGATTATTGTCTGAGCAACCTCGAGCCGGTTATCTCCAAATCTTGTGGATGATCTTTACAGTATCCCGTTATTCAACCCAAAGAACAGATGATCTTATTGAGCTCAGTTTATTAAGACCTAAACAGATCCTATATTCATGTCCATAGGAAAAAACCAACATTAAACCAGTGGATGTAAAGAGGCTATTTCAAGGCCAATGGGTTCACACAGGTTTAGACTGCACACGGCAGACCGTTGCACAGACACTAACAAGAACACAACAAACCCCGAGAACATTTAGTACCAGACGCTCATGCATCCGACCTTAACACGCACCGCAAACAGCCACCTTTTCATTTTGCACTATAGGTCATCAGCTTTGATGGCGCACTGGTTGGACCTTTTATCTTTCCAGGATGAAATTGATGTTTTTCTTGATCTGTAATTTAGTGGACGGAGAATAATAACGTTGGAAACAATAGTTTTAAGGCAGCATCTATAGACGCAGCACATTTGACTCACTGACACAGCAGCAGCAAACATCGCAGGACTCGCCAATAGTCGCATTTTTTGCAGTGTGCGCTCTAAAATGAGTCATTTGCAGTTTGTGGCTGTTATCTCATTACGCAGGCATCACTTTCCCCTCCAGTCACACAGTCATACAGAGACTGTATATGCTGTTTGTTTGTCTATTAGCGAGGTGTCAGTATTAACACCTCTTATATCACAGAATGTAAAACGCTTTTATTTATTTGATCTAAGACGCAGATTAATGATGGATTAGCAGCACAAATTTGGTGGTGAAAATAAGGACTGAGAGTACAGCTCTTAAAATTAGAGTTTGTCCTGCAACTGTCTGAGTTGAAAATGCTAGAATCATTTATTTAAAAAAAGAAAATATCTCTCAACCTTCTAGGCCCACTACACTTATTATAGTTGTTAACATATTTTAGGTTTTCAAACTTATCTGTATAGTTCTCTCTGCAGCTGAGCTTTACTCTGTGGTAAATCTGTTTGCTTGTTAAAAATACATGCAATTAATAAGCTGTAGGAAGACGTTAAGATGTTTGTAGGGTACACACACACGCACAAACACACACGGACACACACACGCATGCACAGAGCTCTGAAAGGCTGCCTCTCCATTACTGTATCAACACAAGCAGCGCAGGGTTTGCAGAATTTGGACATACAGAACTTATACTGCACCAATGTTTTCTTTTTCCAAAGCGGAAACATGACTTGAATTTTGGGCTAAAAAAGTCACGAGATGCCTGAAAGTATATGATTAATAGATGCAATTAGTTTCACAGCGTTTGTGCACGATAATACACACAGGGTAAACCTAATTGTAACCCAACAGATAGAGCAAAGGAAAACATTTCAAAAGATCCAACTGAGCAGAAATTTGGACAAAATTACTTGTCACATAAAAATGTAAAAACATTTTAAATGTATAGTTTAAACAGAAATAACAGAAATGAGATATAAACTCACACAACGGGCCTCGCGCATTAAAACGTTCTCCATATCATTACACCTGTAGTACTTTAATTGAGATTCTTCCAAATAGATTTTCATAATCAAGTTTGAATTAAAATGCATATCACGCATCAGTGGTTCATCGACATACGCTCGATCCTGCCCACACCTTCAAGAGCTCCGTTTAAAAGCTGCCGTCTTGTACTGAAAACTCATTTAGAGGAGAAAATGCGTATTTATCGAGTTGTACCTCGACGAATAATAAACGAAAATGTAAAGTGCAAAGTACTTCAACAAAATCTGCTCATTGGCTTTGATTAAATAAATTGTGAAAAGACTTTACTAGTGAAGCTTGGTTATTAAACAAGTAAAGTCCACGTGCAATTGAATCGAAGGCCTGAGGAGCTGAAGTAAAACAAAAAAAGGAACAAGTTCAAAAGCTGGAAACACAAAGTTTTGAGCTTTTGAAACTGTAAAACCTTGAGGAGCAGATGACGTGCTGGGTGGAGGGGAGCAGCACGAGAGCTTCACTCACACTATAATTAACGTACAGCCTCCAACAGGAGCTGACGGCGCGTCACAGGGAAGAGACCTAAAATAAAACCAGACAGCTGGACGTAAGTTGTATTCATGCAACAAGTAAAAGCGTCAATTTACAAACAAAACAAAGAGAATTAACTGAAACGTTTTGGTAAAAATGATCCAAGTGATGATTAATAATTTCTAAACCTCAAACTTTATTTGAAACCAGCCAAGATATTTAATAACTTCATTAGACAACACGCTTTATTACAGTTGTTGCCCAGTGATTAATAAATAATTAAACGACTAAAAGCGAAATATGTTCAATTAGAGAAGTGGTCTAAAATAAATCAGATTAAAGTTGAGATGATGAAGTCGTTCCATACCAGTCCAACTGATGACTAATAACACCACATATATGCCTATTAAAACTTTAAAACACAAAAATGCGATATACACCAGTTGAATTATAGTATTATGTACTAAGCTGAATTAAATGTAATTAAAAGCCAATTATTACAATATTTATCTGAACAAAGTTTTATATCTTTACTTTAAAATATCTCATTATCATCATTATTATTTGCACATGAGCTGTTTACAGGTTATTTGGGGAAGTGAGAAGAGACGGCAGTTCAGCAACATTCACACATGATGAAAATATAATTTTACAAATTTCAATGAAAATAAAATAATGTATGATTTCATTTCAAATAAAGCCTGTCTAAACTGCAGAGTAAAACTAAATTCAGGTAACAAAATTTAAACAAAATGTGGTCCATGTGTCAGAAAAAGACAAAAAACAAGAACAACATGAGCTAAAATTGAGAATCAATATTTATTCAACAACATAATACTGAATATTTTTAAGCTCATCACCTAAAAGTTGATATAATAGACATAATAATATACCATTCAAATCACAAAGAGCAGCTGAGACTTTTTAAAAAGTCATTGCAGCTGAAGTTTAGCAAGATTCAATTATTTTGGTAATAAATAGTAAGAGAAAGATTCTGAGCGGTTGATCATGTAACACGCTGCAGATGCAAGGAAAGCTGCATCTGTATCTTCTCTACATTTTTAAATTCAATCTTCTTCTGTGATAAAATATAGCGAGTCTGTTTGTGTTCAGTTCATAAAGCTGGTTATCACTTCTGAAATAATACATGCTGGTTGACCGTGCTATAGCTAGCAGGTATTTACTCTGAAACATAAAGTCTAAATGTAGCCTGGAGGACAAACAATGCATCAACCACACAAGTCAGTATTAACAGCTGTGCACTGAACACACTGACCACTACAGACTCAATATGCAGCATTAAAATCAAACTACTGGGTATAAACAACAGATAATAAACTGCAAAAACTACAAATCACTCATCAAGGTGCAAATGACAAGGTGGCACAAAGCATCAGGTGAAAGAAAGTGGATAAGTCTGAACACACACACACACACACACACACA